AATGGAATTGCATACAATAGAGTATTCCTCACGTATAAATAGGAACAAATCATTGATACATGCAACAACACGGATGGACCTCAAAAGTTTTATGCTAAGTGAAGGAAAGAAGCCAGACAAGAACGTCTGCATACTGTCTGATTTTATTTACATGACATTCTGGAAAAGGCAAAGCCATATAAACAGCAATCAGGTCAGTGGTTACTAGGGACCGGGGTCTAAAGGAGGAAAAGGAATGTAGAGGAAACAGAAAAGGAATTGCTTGGGGGTGATGGAGATATTCTGTATCTTAAGTCTGGTGGTGTTGGTTCTATGGCAGTACATGTTCATCAAAATCCATAGAACTGTACACCTGAAGTTAATTTTACCATGTATAAATTATACCACAATAAACCTAAACTTAAAATAAATCAAGAGGGTGGAGGAAAAGTGTGACTATTTCTGCTTGCCACCTAGGCTCAAATGATAAATAATGATGCCTCTTATACTGTGTCAAGCTCCTAAAACAGGCGAGATGCCAGTCACCACGTGCCCCTCCCTGCCTGTTTCCTTTCTCTCACCTCCTCCCACTTTCCCTTTGCACACAGGCACCCTTCCTGCCTCTAACTCTGGAAGATCAGGGAGCCTGGGGCTCTTTGCCTGGGGCTCTTTGCTGTCTCCCAGGTCTTTGCACAGTTGACTCCTTTTTGTACTCATGTCTTAGCTCCAAACTCACCTTCTGTGAACAGACTATCCTGTTCATGCTTTATAAAGCAGCTATCCTCACCCCCTGTAACTGTCGAATTATTTTTTATTTCCGCCCCAGAGCCCCTTATGACTATCTGAAATTCTTATTTGTTTGCATGTTGTCTGTGTATCTGCATTAGAATGCAAGGCTTTGTCTGTCTTTTTTACCTTCTAGAACAGTGCCTGGCACAGCAGACTCATGATTAAGATTCATTGAATGGGTGTATTCCTTGTTAAGCTATGCAAGGCACCTTTAAGGAATAAACCTTCCATTCAGATTCTTGTAATAGTTATGCAAATAAACGTTATTACATGCCATGTTTTCACCAGTCCCTCTCATGCTAGGAATTTCATACCATTATCCATTTGTGGTTCACTGTGAAGAACACTAGGCTGAAAGGTAAGAGTCCTAGACTGAAGCCTTGATCTGCCCACTAACTGTAAGACACTATTGCTCTGGGTCCAGTACTTCCATTTCCAGAAATTTACCTCAAGGAAAAAAGATAGACATGTGCACAAACACATACAAGGTGGCGCAAACGCAGGTGTGCAGTTTTGAGTACGTGAAACAGAATTGACTCTTGCATTGTTTATTAATTATTGTATTATTTTCCATATGAACAACTGTAAACCTACTTTTGCCCCATTCTGTATGTACCAGGATGCTTATTCAGTGTATTAATAATAATTAAAATTAAAAGGAAAACAGTTGCACGCAATGGGGCTCTGGCTAGACTGATGTATCCATCAATGTCACACTGTGAATTAATTTGAAAATAATGATTTATATTCACTTTAACTTATTCCATAAATGTGCATTCAGTACTTGCTAATTTCAGGCACTGTTCTAGATGCTAAGCTTGTAGCAGTGAATGAGAGAAAGGCCCTACCCTCATGAACAATATTTTCATGGGGAAGAAAGACTAAAAATAAATAAATAAATAAATGTGCTACATGACATGGCATCAAAGGACAATAAGTTCTGTGAAAGAAGGATAATGTATAATAAGGGGGTTGGGGCATCCCCCAAGAAAATGATTGGGGATGTGCTATCTTATATGGAGAGCATTCAGGGAAGATGTCTTTGAAAAGGCTGCATTTGACCGCATACCTGAATGAGGTGAGAAGTGAGGCATGTGAGATCTGTGGAGAGTGCAGGCAAATGCAGTAGGAGAATGCAGGTCTGAGGTAGGAGTATGCTTGGCAATTTTGAGGGGGGAAAAATAGCTGGAGAAGAGTGAGTAAGGGAAAAATATGGCAGGAAATATGGTTGGAGAAAAAGCCCAGGACTAAATTTTGTAGAGCTTTATATTGGGCCATCATAAGAACATTTGACTTTTGTGTAAACGTGATAGAATGAATACCTTGAAGAAATTTGAGTACAGGAGTGGTCAGATCTGTCTTATATTTTAAGACAGTGTGATAAGTAAGCCAAGGACAAAACTGGAAGCAAAGAGACATTGAGGATGCTATTTCAGAAGTCCAGGGCAGATAGTAATAGCATGGGCTAGGATCATCGCGGTGGGGATGGTAAGAATTAGTTATACTGTATGTGGTACTTTTACTTACCTCTAAATAGAACTAATACAAAAAGCCAATATGGTAGCTTTGGTGGCATATGGGAGAAAGAGGAATAAAAGAGGAATCTTTAGATCTGAGACTTTGCAATTGAGGAAAGATGTGTAATACTGCTGTTGGGTAGGAGGTCTTGTTGTGGGAAATTGATAGTTATTTTAAGACACAACACAGTGACTAGAGAGTGATTTGTTTTTGCAGCCCAGTTGTTTTTGCAGCCTGGTGGCTTGTTTTGGCTCAAAGAGGCCAAAAGCCTCTTTTGGAGTCTCTGGACTACTTATCATCTACATGCCAAAGAAAAAGCTCTACTTTCTGCTTCTGTAAGTGCTTCCTGCTTTCACGCCAGAGGTAAGGGTCCGAAGACAGGCCCTCCCTTGCTCTATAAAAATAACTGCTCCCCGGCTGCTGAGTGCCCAGAATTTGGAAACTGACTCCTCTGGCTCTGCCTGGTAAAATAAACTTCCACTCCGTACACCCGAAAGCGGCTGAGTTGTTTTCTGTAACAGTCTGAGTACAAAGTGGGTGTTGCCAGGGCCTGGATACCACCTGGCCATTATCACCTGGATGATATTCTAAGAAGTGAGAACTTAGGCAAAAGAAATAATCACATGTGCCAAATGCTGCTGAGAGTGGAGTAAAATGAGGACTAAAAATGACCATTTGAGGTCACACGTGTGGGTCATCTTGGTCTCAGTGCAGGGAGAAAAGCCTGATTGAATATGCTCAAAAGTGAATGGATTTCTTCAACAAATAAGTTGATGTGGGGGGGGAATTCAGATGGGGGAAGCAACCTATAGATTAAAACATAATTAAAGGACATATCAGCTCAGGCTGCTATAGCTCAGTGGACTGAGTGCAGGCCTGCAACCAAAGGGTTTGCAGTCAGGGCACATGTCTGGGTTGCGGGCCAGGTCCCCAGTGAGGTGCATGTGAGAGACAACCACACATTGATGTTTCTCTCCCTCTCCCCTTCCTCTCTCTTTAAAAATAAATCAGTAAAATCTTTTTAAAAAAGGACACATCAGCCAGTCACAAAGGGAAGGAATTTACTGGATCCTGAGGTGATTAGTATCCAAATACTGACTTGATTTTGATGATATTAAATAATTTAAAATTTATTTTAAAACGAGTTCTGTGGATATATGAAAAATAAAAGTCCTTATCTTTTAGAGATGCATCTTGAAATGAAATAATATCTACAGGTAGACAACTGTTGAAGATGGGTGATGAGTACACTACTCTCTCTAGTTTTTTTATATGTTTATGTGAACACCCGCCCTCCCAGAAGGAAATACCTGCTCAGAAGGATCCTCATGGTTAACTGGACACAAATTCATAACCAGAGTCTAGCAGTCATTGCTGACAAAGTCCTCTCATGGTACTCTGTGTTTCAAAACAAGCCACATACTGAGCTAATCCTGTCTAGTACTGTGTTCCTGTCAGTCAACTCTTACAAAGGAGTTCCAGGTGTAGTCTTTACACCAACCTTCTGAGGCCTGCCCTGTCCAATGGGAATGGCACAGCTATATCTTTATTTGCATCTTTAGTGACCAGACATAACAACCAATCAGAACACACAACTCTGACCAATCAGGACAGTGCTACTTGAACCAATCAGACTGTGCAAATTTGGGTTCCTCATTTGCATAGATATGGACCAATCAGAGACTAAGGTGGGAACTTTCTCTAAAAAAAGTAAATTGCCCTTTGAATCGGGGGAGTACACTTTCTTTCCAGTGGGGGCTGTGTCTCCCACTTTTGTAATCTGTTAACCCCAATCCTTTCTCCTTTTATTGCATCCCATACTGGGCACTCCTGTTGGCATTAAACTAGTGGCAGAAACTTTTGCTGACATTTGGAATGCTCCCTAAGAAGTTTATAAACTTGAAGTTTATAAACTATGAAATCAAAGAATCTTGTTTTAAAGAGGTAAAGTTGAAACTGTAATCAGAATAACAATCTTTTGCAACATGCTCTTGTAAGTTCTCCATGAATTTACAAGTTTATGACACTTCTAATGAAACAGCCTTCAAAAGAAAACTCTAAGTCTAATTTATTTTTTAATTTGTTTGTTTCCTGGAAACAGAACAGACATCTCTGAATTTCTAAACAAAAATAAAAGTAAATAGATGGTGAAGAAATGGAAATTGAGAATATATTATTCATTCCCAATAGCGGTCACGAATATTTCCGGATTAAAAAATATTTAAATGGTATGTGGAATCCAATCTCATTTTTAAAAACTTTTTGACAGTAGGGTTAGTCGACCTGATTTTAAAAATGTCTGCTTATCTTTATTTTCTAACTTTTATGTATGGCATATAGATAGATGCCTTGTTTAATTTTAAGTGATAAAAAAGAAGACGGAGCTAACAGCAGCGCTTGTACTTTTATAAACAGAATGTTGAATTACACCCCCACTTTAACTCAACCAGCACCTCCTGGCCCTGCGCTGCTACTGGTGACCTGGGGTAGGCGGGGCAGGAAAGTATGCGCAGGCGTAATAGCGAGCCAGCGGTCGCGGGAGGGATTAAGTCTCAGTTAAATGACAGCTCTTCCAGCCAATAAAGACACAGCATCATAGGCTTTCTTCCGAAGCAGGACGCCGGAAGTCGGATTCGCCTGAGGTAGGGAAGGCGGCTACCACAGTAAACCCAGGGCTGAGGTGAGTGGGCGGCGACATTTTGGGGCTCCGTTCCGCGAGGTTTTCCCTTTCCGGACCCCGCTGTGTCTTCAGGGCGCAATGGGAAAGAGGGAGCCCTGGCGCCGAGTCCGCTCGCTCGCCTCCCGTTCCCGTGCCCCTGCGCGCGGCCCGCCCGCCGGCCGTGGAGCCCCGGCTGGACAGCCTGCGGGCTCAGGACGGCCTCCGGTGCGGAGGCCGAGCCGGACTGGAGGTTGGGGCACCTGGTTTCCCGAGCCGCGTGGCCTTGGGAGTCACCGTCCCAGCCCGCCCTCCTCAGGGAGCAGCCCCGAAATCGCTGGTTGATGGGGCCGGGGGAGGGAGGTGGACCCCAAGCCTAATCGACCCAGATTCCTCCGGAGAGGCTGTAAAACCACGTCGTAGCGGCCTCGTTGACAGCGGACAAAGAGAGCGAAGTGTCTGGGGTGAGGCCCGGACCACGCGCTGCGACACCTGGCGTTGGTTTTACCGAAGACCGACACAGCCTTGGAAAGTTCAGTCTGGAGAAGTGACAGAGGAGTACACATGACTTCTCTGCCGTGTCGGGTTCCTTTCCTACAGTTGGACGCTTCGCAGTGTCCGGATTTCAGGGAGGGAGCTGGCCCCGTGCCGCCGAAAGGACCGAGGCTGGGAATTCCTGCCCCGGACCGTTCGCTAACCTTTTGATCTGGGGCCAGAACTTGCCCTCGCTGAGACCTGGGATCCTTATCTCTAAGGTGGAATCCGGGACAGTGCTTAACTCAGAATTGTTACGGAGATTAAGAGAGGGCATAAAACAATGGTACCTGTTACCTGGTTGGCCTTTGGAAAAGGGCGTCTTCAATGGAGGAAGGGGCGTGGTGCGGAGAAGCGCAGAACAGGACTCGGAACCAAAAAAGGCTTGAGTGGGTGAAACCTAGGCTGTCCGTGTTATTCTGAAGTACCAGATCAGTGCCCACTCTCTGATTTTTGTAATTACGTCTTTAATCAGAGAATATTCTTGTTTTGGGGATATACTTGTTAAATTTATTTTTGGTAGTTAGATCTATTGGGTTTTTTTTTGCAGTAGTCTTACAATTTGTAGTTATTTCCTTAGTAGATTGTAAGCAGCACTAGGATGGAGGCAGTGTTCCTAGTTTACTCTCGGAAGGTAGTATAGTGTAGGGTTTGAGATGTTCCCACTCTGGATCCTTCCTTTATAACTTGCACACAAGCAGCTCAACCTTCCTGAGCCTGAGTTGTCTCATCTCTAAAATGAAAGAGCACTTTCTTTTCTCAGATTTCTCACAACCATGAGAAGAGTATTTAGAACAGTGTCTGGCATTATAGTATATCCTCAAATATTATCCATCATCATGATCATCCCTGGATACTCATTGTCATATATTAACAAACAGTAGATTTATGGAGGAGTGAACAAACATTAAGGATGTTTGTACCTACTTCCAGATTCTCATTGATTTGGAGCTCAACAAATATTTATGAAGTTCCTGTGTGCATGGTTGTGGACACAGTGAGAACTATATAGTCAAAATTTTTCTCTCATTCAGCTTGTCTGGGTAAGGAGGCAGAACAAATACTGGTGCAGACAATAAATGCCCGAAGGCAGAATCTGCTTTTGATGCATAATCAGAGACTTTCTTTCTTTAGAGGTGACATTTTAAGCTAGTGCCTGAAGCAGGAAGACCCAAAGGCAGAAGAAGCTGTTAAGGAATTGAGTAAGAATACTAGATTGAAGGCAATATTGCTAGGATTTATAAGGGAGAAGGGATGTGGTGTAAGAAGAGTTATGCTGGCCATTATATAGAATGGTAGTGAAAGCAAAAAGATTTCTGGAGAAGCAATTGTATATCAGCAAGAAGGAATAGTGACTTGGTCACCCTTGATGAATTTGAGATAGTGAAGGTGTGGAATCATAGGACTTCATAAATTTGACAGTGATAGGGAGGAGAGGAGGTTGGTTAAGATAAGCTTTAGGTTTCTGGCTTGAAATCCTAGGTAGGTAATGGCGACATATTATTGAGATAGGAAAGATTAGAAACTTGGAGGAATAGGTTTAGGCTGTTACATGTATATAGGGGATGAAATAAATTTTTTTTTAAAAACTTTGATCACTTTATGAGACATCCAGAAGGGGCTCAGAGGCCTGGGCTGGAGATGTAAAGAGTCATAAACATAGACCAGGGTTTTTCTACTTTGACAGAATATTTTGGAATTTTGAGATGGATAATTCTTTGTTGTGGAGGGCTGTCCTGTGCACTCTAAGTGTTCAGCAGCGTCCCCAGTGTCTACCCATTAGATGCCACTAGCACCCCTTTGATTGTGACAATTAAAAATGTCTCCAGAACTTGCCATGTGTCTCCTTGGTGGGTAAAATTGACCCTGGTTGAAAACCACTGATAGAAATGATATTAAGAGCTATGGAATTGTCTGCAATCACCTAAAGAAGAATTTAAAGCAGAAGTCTAAAAGGAGTGGCCAGCAAGATTCTTGCAGATAAGTTCTTTTTGACCTCACAGTACTTGACAATTTCTGGAATGAATTCAGTGTTTAAAAATTGAGAGATGTCACATAAAAATCTGGGTTTGTGCTCTCGCTTGAAAAATTAGAGAAACTGAGAAACAGTTCATCTTCATTCCTACAAGAATGTTATGTCTAGAGATTTTGAGATCTGGCATGTGTGTGCTTTCATTCTAATCCCTGCCCCATAGTGCTTCATTCTTTATGTTGCTTACCTTTTCCAGTTTGTAAATCCCTAATTTAGAAACAAGAGGTTCTAGGGCTGTCCTCTGGCACACCCTATGTCTCACAGGGTGTTCAAACTTAAAAAAATTGATTTGATTTCATCTCCTTTATATACCCTTATATAAACAGGGAGCTTGTTCCTCCCTGTTTCTGATCTTCTTTATCTCAATAACATGTTCCCATCCACACCGACATTAAACTTTGGATAAAGGAGAAGGGCAGTAGTGGAGACTGAGGGAGTGGTTAGTGAGGAAGGAGGAAAATGTAAATGTGGGCTCGCAAAACCTGGGTGGGGAGGGGAAATATGTTGAAAAGGAAGAAAATGCTGCTGATAGGCTGAGTAAACAACATCATAGAAAAATATCCAATGGGTGATCATGTGGTGATTGCTGATGACCTTGGTGAGCAGTTTTTGTGGGGTTAGGAGGTTGGAGCCAGGTTGGATAATAACAAAAATGAATATGCAGAAAGCTAGCAAAGCAATGAATTGGGGGCTGGTATCGTTATACCATAGTAACTCATGGTGCCTATGTCCACTGCCTCATTGATTCCCTATCACTGTGGCTTGGTGGAAACAGGGATATCCAAGAGCTGTTCCTAGAACTTCACAAATTTCAAGTATAAAACTGCCTCCAGTATATTATTTGCCATCTTTGATGTTGGATGGTGGTTTATATCTTGAAAATCTAGTAAGATCAGTCTAAACGAGCATTCGGAAGGGAATCTTATCATTTTATGATGAAATAGATGTTATTGAGGCCATAGAAGATAATGGTTGTGTTTGGAATTTCTGTAGCAGAAGTAGAAAACTTGTAGAGTACCTTGCAGGAAAAAATGGTGTGAAATTGGATCATCATTTTATCAAAGCAGCTCAGATGATACCAGCTGTCTGGAATATAACAATGTTAATTTTGTCATAGTGTTTATTTTAAGTGTTTGCTTTTGGAAATCAATCTATAATACAAAACAAAAGTACATGCGATAGGGAGACAGCATGGATAGTTTGGATATAGAAAGGAGTAGAGAAACAGGACATAACTGATGAGGTGTGGAATCTAGATTTTCTTTATAGGTGAAAACATGCTACAGCGTATTTTTTTATGTTAGCAAAAGAATCTAGTATAGAAGGAAGGTATTTGGACAATTAGAGTAGGATGGCAGCCTTTCCCTGTTGTACATGTTAGTTTTCGAAACTAAGGAGATCATTTTGTGCTGGGCCCAAACTGCTAGGGTGAGAAAAGGAAAATATTCTGTCTCTAGGCATGCAGTGTGACAGGTTTGTTTTGTAGAGGCACTCTAAATCTTTGGTCTGTTTCTATAGGTTCTTGGTCTTCCACAATGGGTGAGCCACAGCAAGTGAGTGCCCTTCCGCCGCCTCCAATGCAGTATATCAAGGAGTATACGGATGAAAATATTCAGGAAGGCTTAGCTCCCAAGCCTCCACCTCCAATAAAAGACAGTTACATGATGTTTGGCAACCAATTCCAATGTGATGATCTTATCATCCGCCCTTTAGAAAGTCAGGGCATTGAACGGCTTCATCCTATGCAGTTTGATCACAAGAAAGAACTGAGAAAACTCAATATGTCTATCCTTATTAATTTCTTAGACCTCTTAGATATTTTGATAAGGAGCCCTGGGAGTATAAAACGAGAAGAGAAGCTAGAAGATCTTAAGCTGCTTTTTGTACATGTACATCATCTCATAAATGAATACCGACCCCACCAAGCAAGAGAGACCCTGAGGGTCATGATGGAGGTACAGAAACGTCAACGCCTTGAAACAGCTGAGAGATTTCAGAAGCATCTGGAAAGAGTCATTGAGATGATTCAAAATTGCTTGGCTTCCTTACCTGATGATTTACCCCATTCAGAAGCAGGAATGAGAGTAAAAGCTGAACTAATGGATGCTGATGATAGCAACAATTGTACTGGACAGAATGAACAACAAAGAGAAAATTCAGGTCATCGGAAAGACCAGATTATAGAGAAAGACGCTGCCTTATGTGTTCTAATTGATGAAATGAATGAAAGACCGTGAAGGATGTTTTTTTGTTGTTTTTCTTTTTTCCTTTCAGTAAATAGCATCATATGTTTGTTACTTTGCTCTTAGGGAGTCTTAAAAGAGATTTAACTAAGAGTTATGTGAAGAGCCTAACTCTCCAACTTGATTAATTATGAGATGTCACGGGCAGTAATATCACTTTACAGCAAACATAGGCAAATGAATATGACTACATTAAGAGTAATCAATTTAGCTCTGGCTAGTGTGGCTTAGTGGGTTGAGCACTGGCCTGTGGACTGAGAGGTCACTGGTTTGATTCCCAGTCACGGCACTTGCCTGGATTGTGGGCCAGTCCCCAGTTTGTGCAAGAGACTACTGACTGATGTTTCTCTTGAACAGCAATGTTTCTCTACCTTTCCTTCTCCCTCATTTACCCTCTAAAAAGTAAATAAATAAAATATATTTTTTAAAAAGCTTAATCAACCTAAAAAGCAAAGTACTGCTGTTGTGTGGAACATTCCCGTTGCAGTAAATGTTGAAGATAATATTTAGTAATAGCAAACTTTCACTCTGGAAAAGTAGACTGGTTGTTTGCTTTAAGAATGAGAATGATAAATAAATGATATCAAGCTGCATAAATATATTATGAAATCTTTATATTTTACTTAAAATTTGCTTAATCTCTAAAACATCATTTTAATATGTTAAAGAGGAACCCCACAGAGTTAAAAAACAGCAATTTGTCCTCTTGACTCCTCCTGTGAACACACTATCTTGGCTTCTTGTCCCTATCCTGAATGGGTCCCCTAACTTTCTTTAGTCATTTATATAATATGTCTTTTGATCACTTTTGGTTGCAACCATTCCTTTTAGTAATAAAAATGTTTATGTGATTAGCTGTACATTTTTTTAAAATCAAATTTATACTTGCTTAAAGCTGGAAGTCTGCAATAGGAACGTAGTTTCGTGGCAGAGACTGTTAGGTGTTCACTGGAGAGTATATATCCCCTGAGATACGTTGCTTAGATAAGGCTACCCTGCAGGGGATTACATTTCCCTGTTCCCCTTGCAGCTGTGCAAGGTCACATGACTAAATTCTTAGCAGCAGGATATGAGGGTAATAATTCAGTCCTGTCCTATAAAAATTTCTTGCTTAATCTTCCATTTTCATCTGCTGGCTGGATGGCCACACCCAGGATAACTTCATTTTGAAGATGGTTCCCTGAGGGCCCTTGAATGACTGAGGACTAGGCCTTCCTTTCATTAACTTTACCCCCAACCCCAGCTGATTTGACTATATGAGTAAGAAGTTGTCTTATTTTGATCACATTTTATTTCTGTATTTCTCTTCTCCCTCTAACCTCGCATCCACCAAAGTCTGAGTGGAGAGTCTGCCTTGTGTCTGAGTTATCTTTGTTGGTATTTCTCTTAATACAGGCCAGTGGTTCTCAAAGTGTAGTTTTGGGTCTGCAGCATTAGCATCACTTGGATTTTTGTTAAAAATACAAAGTTCAGGCCTCACTCTAGACCTACTAAATCAAACTCTAGGGGTGGTGTCCATCAAGCTGTGGTGTAGCAAGCTGCAGATGATTCTGGTGCAAATAATTAAGATTCAAGGACCACTAATAAAGGTAATATCTTTTCCCAGATGTCCACTTCTGATTTTTTTTCTCAGTCTGGTTTCCGGTATACTGTCCTTAAGGAATATGTACTCGATTAAGGGCTTCAGCTCTGGAGCTGGCAAAGACCGGTTTAAAGTGGCCATAGGTCAATTATCTATGTGAAACATTCATCCTCTTTAGGAATCTTAGGGTGCAGGCTATTCCCAAGTATACCCTGGTCACATTTATTTTTGTGTTTTTTTTCTGGCATGTGTTCGGTGTAGATTTCGGCTCCAGAGACTAGAGTACACAGTCCAGTCTCTTCTAAGGTTAAATTGAAGGGGGAGGGGAATCAAGCTAGACATTGTATTAACACTTCAGCAACTCTCAAAAGAATTGTCTTCTTTGCCCTCAACCCTTTTATAATTTTGAGGGCCTTGGGCTAAAAGGTACAAACCAATTTTTGGCTGCTTTGCAAATCCTTGCAGTGGGGAAAAAAAAACCTAATTGAATCTGTAATGTTACAAGATTTACAACATAATTTGTATATGAACTTGTACATGTTGGGGAGAGGATTAAGGGATTTAAATTCCACTAGGAATCTTAAAATCTGACTTTGAGAGGATAGTATCTTGTAGGTCTTTTTAAAGAGTTTTGATGTGAACTATTGCACTGTTACAAAGTGGCACTTTATAAGTTTTAAAGTTTATATAAAAATCTTTCAATCTTGTGAAGATTATCTGCACACCTAGTTATAATGGATATTGCTGATAAATTGATTCCTCAAAGTGAAATATCTGGAAGACTAGCCTGGGTACCTCTTGAAATTACTATTCCAGGACCCAAACCACAGAGATTCTTTTTGTTCTGGGGTAGCCCTGGCATTGACTTTAAGAATCTCTTAATTACTTTACTGTGCAGTGGGTTAAAGGAATATTGCATTAGTCAGTCCTCTCTACTTGAACTAGTTTAAGCAAAAGGATGAATCATGGAAAGAATACTGTGTTATATGATTGAACGGTAAGTAGAACATCCAGACTATGAAGAGGATTGGGAGGGTCTCCATGGCAACTGGAACTCAAACTCCACCCAGACTCCCTCAGTCTCTCCTGTCATTTCCGTTAGCTTTATTCTGTTTCATTCCCTTTACAGCCCAGCTTCTTTCATGGTATGGCTGGAGAACATGGCTGCTGATCATTCCCAAGTGTTAAGTCTTTCTGCACTGCTCTGTGGGCCTTGTCTTTCAAATTAAGAAAAAAAAGTGAAAGGCTAATTAACCAGCCTGGATGGAGGAATTAGGAGTAGCATTCCTGATTCCAACTGGACCGATCAGGTGAGTCCTGTAAGAATTTGACAGTCCCCAAATTGTGTGGGAGTAGGTGTCCACCTCACAGGGGGAAGGAGATGCTGAGCTGACCGTACTGCAGATACCTACTACAAATCAAGCACATTAAGTAGATTTTTGATATAAACATCAAAAATTAATTTATTATGTATGATGGTGGTCACTCCCCATTTCCCCATTCTTTCATATATTCATGTAGTTAGTATTGTCTTTCTATGCTTGATACTTGTTTAGTAGCTGGGGGTTTGGAGAATGGGGAGGAAAATGGGAAAAAGATGAACAAGAAAGATGAGTTAATTTTTGAAGGTGTTAAGTTCACACCTTAACCATCTAACTCTCACATGAGTAACATTCCAAAGACTATTTCTATTATATCCTTATTGCCTGCTCAAAATGCCTTGTTCACTTTTTAAGCCATGTTTACCTGTTCACATTTGTTAAGGGCTTTGGAAGGCGACTTCAACTGTGCTGTGTGGTACTTCAGAAAAGGCCTGTGCTAGGTCTTGAGGTCACTGGAAACAGCAAGTTCAAGGGTGTCATGAGGAAATAAAAAGTTGACATGATTTGGATGAGAAAGGCCTTTGTGTCCACAACCTAGGGAGGAGGTTAGACTTAGAGAAGCAGATGGAGAGCAGATTACAGGATTTAAAAGGCCAAAGAATGTGGGGGTGACTTTTCCTGCAAGTCCCCCCGTCTGTCTGCCACTGATGAAAATAAAGAAGACCTGACATGATCTGCTTGGGGATGAGAGGTGGTCAGTTTCTCCAAGGAAAAAGGCCTTGAGCGGTGGCCAGTTTCTCAGGGGGAAAAGGCTTTGAGCCCCTTCCTCCAAGGGCTTTTATTGGGTTGTAATACAGAGGAATACAGGTGGCAAGGATCAAACAGTAGATAACATTTCAAAGAGATCTGAGGGCTTAGTCTGAGTCAGTGTCTGTCGGGAAAGGGGGTTGCAGAAACTTTGGGAGACATAATCATTTCCTCTGGGACCTTTGTATGAATGAAAACACTCAGCAGAGCAGATGTCACAGGTTTTTCAGGAATTCTTTGTGATGCCAGATTTGCCCCCCCCCCCCCCCCCACACACACACACTCTAGTAAAGCAAGGAGCTGCACCTCTCCCCATCAGGTATTCAGGCTTAAGGGGATTAGAGCCAGGAAGCCCTTCTCCCAGAGGACATGGGGACTTGGGCTATGTCACATAGCCAGGGGGCAAGGGTCTATTGCTTACTCTCTGTTGCAACCCCACCCCACAGTCCTTCCATGATGGCCTCCCAAGTGGTGGACTCTGGTTTAGGTTGCTCCTTGCTGTGAGGAGACTTACCTGCCATTGACTTCCGACCATGCTTTGGGGGCAGGGAGAGGAAACTGAGGCAGTGTTTGCTACCAGAGACAAGCTTTGTCTCCTGTGGCTCGCATTCCGGAGGTCACTCATTCATCCCTAGCCATGTGGGGGGGGAGGGAGGTGGGTGTTGGGGTTACAATTCCTGAAACCAGACAGAGCAGTCCCCAACAAAAGAAGGAGCTTGTTTTATACTAAATCTGATGGGAAATCAGTAGCAAACTTGTAAAGAGCTTTGTCGACACTGTTCTAATCACTTCATGCAGGAAGTCATTTTGTCCTCATGTTACAAAACAGAGGTCCAAGGGGGGGCAATATTTGGCACACTCAGGGATGCCAGAAAAACTGTTACAGAACAGATATACCAGGTCCCAGACTCCAGGGGAGGTATACCAATACGGTCCAGACCCCCTACTGGGCTGTCCCTCGCCAATTGGAAAGACATCTCTCAAGGCCAGAGATTTGTGAAAAGGAAACAAAATGTTTAATGCTATTCAGACCTAACATCTTCATTAAAATATCAAAGTCCTTTAGGGTATACACCTACGCACACAGCGCTCCCTTCTCCCCCGTCCTAACTTCGGGTACCGTAAATCAGGAAAAGAGCACACGTCCGGTTTTTCCAGGCCACTGGTACCGTCAGCTGTGTTGCTGTCCAGGCAGGATCTCCAATTAATCCAAAGTCATGTGGCACCTTCTCATAGTCCACTGGCAAGAGTTCTTTCTACCCATTTTTCCAGTCAAAGTCTCTCCTACTTTCCAGGCCATGCGGCCAAGGGGAGCACCCAAAAGCCATTTGGGCCTCTTCTACCAAAGGTGCAGGGGTCTGCACTCCACCAGAAGCATGTGGATTTCTTCTTCACCTGGCTGCAGGGGTCCCCACTCTGGCAAAGCTGCATGTCTCTCCCCTTTCACCTTGCCAAGAGAGGGTCCTCACTCTGCTAAAATTGTGTGGCTCTCCCCAATGGCTGCCCTGTCTGGGTTTAAATCCCCTCACCAATCTTCCTCTGTACCCCTATTTCCGACTCCTCCCAAGATCAGTTACACCTGCCAGTATTTCTATTATTACAAGTTTACTGGGCTGCCATCATTAGTCTGGGCAGGTATGGCCCCATGTCCTAGAGCCAATCTTCTCCAAGCTCCCACACAGGTGCTGTAACTCAGGGGACCAGACCCCCAGTTACATCTTGGGGGGAAGTGACTTCATCCCCCTGGCTCCAAGCCTGGCCACAACCATTTAACATAACCAAGTGACGCACCTAAGGCTAGAGATATGTTAAATGACAATGCCATGGATTAGCTGCAAAGCTGTGGCTGTACAAAACAGCGCTGCATGTTCCTGCTCCATGTGTCCCTTCCCCCAACTCACACCTGTGGGGGGGAAGGGGTGAGGACATCTTATATGTCTCTCCAATATTCCTATACACCTTGAGTTCTGGACACCATTCCAAATCTCTCCTCCCCCCCCCCCCCCCCCGCTGCACCCTGTATCACTTACAACAACGCAATGAAATCAGTATAATTTTTAGATCAGTACTACACTGATGGATGTCTCTGAGAAGTTATATAACTTACCCAAGGTCACAAGACATTGAGTGGCAGAGCCAG